GGGCGCCTCCCGTGGGCGCCTGTGCCGGGGAGCCGGGGGTCCCGCCGCAGCCTGGGGGTTGGGTTGGGTCCTTCTAGCTTATTTTGTTCCGTTTTATAATCTTATTATATTTTATTATCTTATTTATTTTTATTTTATTGTACTTTATCATATTTTTTTCTTTCTTAGTGTACTTTATTTTTCCTTTACTTTACTCTCCCTCATTTTATTTGAATAAAACAAACCAGCAATACTCGATGGCAATGCAGCCTGGCACTGCCCAGGTTGGGTGCTGGTAGTTTCCCATCCCGTTTAGTCCCGTCCATGGCAGTGGAGCCGTCGGCAGCCCCGGAGAGGGGCAAGCGGCACCGCTGTGCCAGGGATTGGCACGGAGACGCCGGCCCTTCGGCCTCCTAACCCTGTCCCCGGAGGTGCCACCATGGTCCATCCRTCTGTCCATCCTCCCTCCCTCCTGTGCGGCCAGGTGGGAACCTGAGCCACAAACCAGCTCCCTGCTTGGAAGTCACAGCCTGGGTGAAGYCTCTGTGCATTTAACACAGATACCTTGGATGTTTTCATTTGGCTTCAGAGCCTGGAATTTTCATCTTGGCTGTTTCCAAAGTTTTCACCAAAACCCAAAGGGAAATAATGAAGCTATTTTTTATTTTTTTTTTTCCCTAATGAAAGCTGTGATTACCACCTGATGGCCTGCCTTTGGGAGCAGAGGTTTTGGGAACAGCGAGTGTTACAGGCTGGTGACAACCGAGGGAGCTTGGACAACACAGCTGTCCCCGGAGAGCGGCTTCGAAGACTCCCAGATGTGGGAAGACACCAGCCAAAGAGCAGCTGGAAAGTCCATAAAGAGACAAAATGTCCCTTGAGGGGTGCAACCAGGGGGCAGATGAGAGCGGGGACCGGAGCAGTGGCAGTGGGAGCTGCACCTCGGCCCTGCCGAGGGGCCTCCAAGGCTGCTTGGCCTGGAAGAGCCTAGCGCTGCCCGGAGATTGGTGACCGGGCTTTCCATTTAGTGCTTTGTAGGGTCACCAGCTGCTTTTAGAGAGTGTCTTGCTCATGTTTCAGCCACTGCAGTGTGCCTCCTTATCACAGTTTGGTTATTCTTCCTCAGCCCTCCCTGCTCCCAGAGCGATTTGGATAGATGTCGCAGGAAGGGTGTGCAGAGCAGCACGGAGTCTGTAGGATCCCTTACAAAAGCAACCTCCGAAGAGTGAGGATTCATGACGGGGGTTTCCTAAGGGAGAAGGTTGCCCATCGTTGGGCTGCCACATTGGGTGGCTTGTCCCGGCACTGCCCTGCCCGCGGCAGAGGCTCTGCTTTGATTGCCTGCGCGGGGCGGCCGCTCCGCACGCCGCCGCCTCCGCGGCCTCGGTCAGATTGGAGCGGCTGAGGGGAGGAAGGAAGCCGAGGAGCCCGTGAAGGGCACGTTTTGTGATGAACCAAGTGCAGGTCCCTTTGCTGTGTGTGCACAAGTGTGTATGGGGAAGTGGCTCCGTGCAGCCGTCTGCGGCAGGAAGGTGTCGCGCGGAGGAGCAGCGTGTGCCATCCACGTCAAGGAGGTTTTCTTGGATGAGGGAGAGCAGTGCTTGGAGCTGACGAAGGCCTGAAGCGTGACCTTTCAGAGGCTCGTACTGCTCCATTAATCACTGTGAAAGCTCTTATGCCCCCTCCTCGCCTTACATCTTCCCTGGGGGAGGGAATTCCCTGCCAGCAACACACAGAGCTGAAGGGAGAAGCACAGCGTCACTGGAATGGCGCAGGCGCCTGGCCGCTATAAGGAAGCGGGTCCAGAGTTGGGATGTGATTTCTCAAAGTTTCTCAGGATCCCAGCTGACATAAGGAAGCAGTTGGATCTCCAGTAAGGCGGGTATTGCTCAGCCAGACCCTAGGCTGCACATGGAGGCTCCTAGAGCAGGTTTTTGCTCTTTTCCTCAGTCTCCTGAGGCCTTACTGGGCACCAGGAAGGGGATCCTGAGCCATGAGTCTGTGGCGCTCACACCTTTTTCCCTGTCCCGTAATAAGGAAGAGGAGACTCATGAAAGGGGCAGTTGCACTGGCCTGTCCATCCGTGTGGTCAGCTCAGCCCTGGTTTGGATCCTAATCCTATTCCCCACCCTGATGAGACACAGCAAATGTAATGACAGGCCAAAGAAGCATGCAGCAAGTAGACGAATCAACTACTAAATATAAAACACATCCCCTTGTGACTGGATAAGGACTTGATTGTAATAACAGAAGTATGTGTTCGTTATATTCAGATATCTTTTCCCAAGTTTCTGCAAGTAGAGTGTAAAAGTAGCAGTTCAGCTATGAAAATTGACTAAGTTCTAAGCACTCAGAAGAGGAATTTTAGAGGCAAATTTTGGCCTCCTTAACCACTGCTGTTGTGATATCACTAGCCATATTACCGAAGAGCAGAGGTCATATATAACCACACAGGGTATATTCGGTGTTCACTATATGGCAATTCAAACAACTTCCTATTGTAAAAAGCCACATAGAAATAGAAAAATATTTCAGAAACAATTCTTAATTATTGTGAAAGTTTAGAAGACCGGGGAGACAGGGTTTTTTTGCATATAWAAAAAAAAATACCAACAAAATGACCAAATATGGGATTTGTTGAATAAATGGCCTCCTTACGTGTAGGGAAGCTGTCTTGAGATATTGTTGATTAAAAATAAATGTTCTGGCCTTCTAGGAGAGTTGGAAACTTCCTTTCTTCAAAGAAAAGATAATTCTCCCATTTTTAGGCCTGGTAAGTTTTAGAAGAATCACCATTGAATTGTCATTTATGTGTTGACTACAACTAATAAAACTCTAATTTCTCTCTCTCTCTCTCTCTCTCTCTCTCTCTCTCTCTCTCTCTCTCTCTCTCTCTTTCCCATTTTACTTTAGAGTAAGATCAAGCAGGAAATCCAGATCTGAATAATAGGAAGGAACTGTTTCATTAAGAGGCTGATTTTTTTTTATGACAGTCATTTAAAGCTACTTAGGCAAAGCTGAAATATTAGAAAATATTAGAGAATGGAGAGACGGATTAGTAGTCAAAGCTGCTCGATGAAGGTTATGAATCATTCAATTTCCTCCTATCAGGTGTATGCATTTACACTTTACTCTTTTTCTGCACCAACTTTGAGGTTACTGGAAACAAACTAACTAAAAACAAAGAACAAAAGAAGAAAGAAACATTTAGAACAATTGTTTTTTCCACAGCACAAACGAAATAAACATGCATCAAACCTGCATATGTTTTCAACCTTCAAAACATGAAATATAGATGAAAAACAATCACCTTCCTTAAATAGCATTTCTAGAAAGCATTCCATAGATAGAGGGTTTGTAAACAAGCTACACTGGACTATAGTTCACTCTCAAACGATGGTCAGTATTTAAGTTACAGAAGTGGAACCTGGAAAGCCAAAGCTTGGCAGCAAAGGATGCCATTTAAGCTTGACTTTATTAGCATTATTCATACAGTCTTCCTCCATAACCTTATGACTGGGGAGATAGTCATGGATGGGCAGACCACAAGGCGTGGGAAGAACTGGTCATTCTACCAGGCTCAAAGGGTAGTGATTGGTCAATGGTTTGAAGTCTGACTCATGACCAGTTAGGAGCAGAGTTCCTCAGAGATCAATACCGGAGCAGCCCCTGCCTGGCATCTTCCTAATGACCTGGGAGCTGAGGCATCAACCTGGGGAGCCCAGCTGCGGTGATGGTGCCAGACCAGTTGATATTCCCTCCAATTTCAGATTTCTTGGATTCTAAATAAACTTTGTGGAAGAATCCCTGTCTGTGCTGGGAACAATTTGGTGACAYTACTGTCAGATCTCTGCCTGAGGTTATTGCTACTATGTCCCAAAGCKGCAGTGGGGCCACTTCTAGACAACATTGAAGTGTTGCCTTTTAGATCAGCTCTTACGTGGCAGGGATATGGGCATTAGCACTGCTGTCATAACATTATTAAGTAGTAGGCAATCCCATTCTGTCTCCTGTCATGTCACACTGACTGACATTGACCCCATGCTCTCCTGGCAATTATAACATGGCATACTAACAAAAAATAAGGTCAAAAAGTACTGAAGATCCTTTGTATTGTGGAATATTCTGTTTAATACAGGATGTATTGTCTTATGTTTTTGGTGGGTCAATACGATTTCTACATGAAGAGTGCACAGACACGTGGCTTTTCCTCTACTTTTC